GTTACCGAATTTTTACCTGCAGTAAGGCATGGAGGTGCTAGGGTGCCTCACTGGAGCAAGCATAAGAATTTTTCAACCAGGACAAGACATCTTCTCTCCAGGCTCCAGTTGAGAATTGGGCTGAACTGTTATGTCTGAGCTGCAGGGGGTCGCTGAGTTCGTCTGTTACAGAAAAAACAACAAATGGTCTGGTAGCACTTTCTAGTCTTACATCTCCATGTTTTGTTAGTCTAGAAAGTGCTACCAGACCATTTGTTGGTTTTTTTGTTGTGTCTGAAATATTCAAAAACCAATTCCACTGGAAGCAGACCCCCAGAATGGGAACTTTCAGTCCAAGTGCGTCAATGTTTTGACAAATTTATAAGCAACCAGAAATGAGGTCTCCGAATTGACGGTGTGAAAAAGACTTTGTCAAATGTGGTGTCATCAGCACCACCTGCAATGGCCACTCCATTTGTGAGTCCCACTCATCTAATCTCCTAGGGTACGTCTACACTAGCCCCTTAGTTCGAACTAGGTACGCTAATGAGGGCGACCGAAATTGCTAACGAAGCACAGGATTTAAATATCCTCATTGGAACTAAGGGGTTTATCTCAGAATCCCGCTTCTCTGACACATGTAGACTCAGGCAGTTACTTCGGGCTAGTCAGTTTCCAAAATGGCGATGGCCGGGAATATGCTAATCAAGCGTGGGATATTTAAATCCTGTGCTTCATTAGCAATTTCCATTGCCCTCATTAGCCTCCCTAGTTTGAACTAAGGGGCTAGTATAGACGTACCCTTAGTTCCAATAATGTCGGTGGTGAGGAGTTCCACAGGCCCACTATGGAGCAGGTCAACAGTTTTATTTTATCCACAAGCCCACAGAGCCAATGGGGAACAGTTTAACCCTGGGTGAGCAATAATTTTCACTTGGAGGGCCACTCCCCACATTTTCACAAGTCATCAAGGGATGGCTCCAGGCCTCTGGAAGGGGCAGGCTTAAGGTGAGAAAGGGAGAGAGAGAGAGAGACACAGAGACTTTGTCTCACAGATTGTATGTGTGAAGTGGTCTGCGACACAGAGAATGGGAGAGTGTATGTTGCATAGTGTGGGTGTGTCTCAGTGACTCTCTGTGTGTGTGACACTCTGGGCATGTCTAAACTACATCTCTCTTTTGCAAGAGGGATGTAAATTAGACAGATTGAAATAGCAAATGAAGCCGGGATTTGAATTTCCCATGCTTCATTTGCATAATGGTGCCTGTGCGTTCTTTCGAAAAAGGGCTTTTGGAAAGTGAAACCGTCATCAAGACGTGGTTCTTTAAAAAAGAAAACCTTTTTCAAAAGATCCTGTACTCCTCAAAACATGAGATTAAGGGTGTGTGTGTGTGTGTGTGTGAGAGAGAGAGAGAGAGAGAGAGAGAGAGAGAGAGAGGCTGTGTGTGACACTGTAACAGTGACTCTGTGTGTGTGTCACTGAGACAGGGTGTGGCAGACACAAAGTATGGACACAGACTAGTTGTGTGACAGACTGTGGGTGTGGGTGTGTGACACAGAGTGTGTGTGCTGGCTGCGGCTGGGTATGTTTCTAAGAGAGGCCGTGCGGTATTTCTTTAAGACAGGGAAAGTTGCCCCCTTGCTCTGTCATCTCAGCTTCCCTGCTCTGAAGAGATGGGTGATGTGGGTATGAGAGTGCGTGTGTATTTGAGTGTGTGTGTGTGTGTGTATTTGAGTGTGTGTGCGTGTGTGAGTGCATGTGTATTTGAGTGTGTGTATGTGTGTGCGTGTGTATATGAGGGTGTGTGTGTGTGTGTATTTGAGTGTGTGTGCGTGTGTGAGTGCATGTGTATTTGAGTGTGTGTGTGTGTGTGTATTTGAGTGTGTGTGCGCACTGCCTCTCTAAGAAAGGCATTCACCTCAGTCATTCACCAGCCCAACCTGAGCTCCCCCGTGTGCGTCCCTCTCCCGGACCCCTGCTCTGCAGAGATGGGGGACAGGAGGATACCCTGACACCCACACTCCCCTCTGGAACCCTCTTCCCCCTGCACAAATAGCAGGAGGGTCCTGGCAGCAGCTCGGCTGCAGGACGGCGCAAGGGGACGGGAGGGGCAGCGGGACACATGGCTGCCGGCTGTAAGTCTGCTCTCTGCTGATCAGCTGGAGAGAAATGGCGGGCTGAGTTAGACTGGCCGGCAGGCTGTATTTTGCCCACTCCTGGTTCAACCCCTTCCTTGAGAGCTAACGGACTGGAAAGTGTCACAGCACCTGAGGAGAGACGACCCCATCCTACGGCTTCTTTCCAAAAGCAGAACACATCCGCCCTTCCCTTTAACAACCTTCCTTTCCCTCTCTCGGAATTGGCCTACACCCTTTCTGGGAGGTTTTTTTTTTTTTTTTGGTAATATACCTAATAACCTCCTTTCCGTCATCCTTAGCCCTGACTAGAATGTGTTGTGTCCTGATGACTTTAATGCAGAAAAAAACAAAGGATTTCTTGAACATATCAACCTTTTCTGTAACTTTAACAAGTTTCCTTTCTCCCTCTAGGATTGGGCGTCAACCTTTTCCAGGATTTTTGTGATTTTACATACACTTAATAACATCATTTTTCTTATCCTCAGCCCCACCAAGCTTGGATTTCTCCCTGAAGTGTTTAATGTGAGTTATCTATTCTCGTATCTTGTATCTATTTTGCCTTTCTCTCGTTGATGGTTTTGTTTTTTTCCACTTAGGGCATGTCTATACTGTGGTGCTATTTCAGGATACTTCCGGTATCCCAAAATAGCTATCCCACATCTTAGAAACAAGCCGCTTATTTTGAAATACAATGGGCTCACTGTTCCGACATCCCTGTAAACCTTATTGCACGAGGAGTAAGGCATGTTTCAGAAGAGCAGTTTATTTTGAAATTTGCCACTGTGTAGCCAGCGTCACATTATGAAATAAGCTATTTCAAAATGAACTCGAAATAAGCGATGCAATTTGCGTAGCTCAAATTGCACCGTTTATTTCAAGCTAAGAGTGCAGTGTAGACGCACCTCTAATGACTACCTTACCATGTCTCTAAGTCAGTTTTACTGCCAGATATACTGGCATTGGAAAAGGTTCAGAGAAGGGCAGTTAAAATGATGAGGAGTTTGGAACGGGTCCCATGTGAAGAAAGATTAAAAAGACTGGGACTTTTCAGCTTGGAAAGAGGAGACTGAGGGGGGATATGAGAGAGGTCTATACAATCATGAGTGGTGTGGAGAAAGTGAATAAGGAAAAGCGATTGACTTGTTCCCATAAGGACTAGGGGCCATCAAATGAAATTAATGGCCAGCAGATTTAAAACAAAGAAAGGGAAGCTGGTTTTTTTTCGTTTGAATGTAATTAGTAGTTTCATTTTGTTCTCCTTTATCACAGGGGTGGGCAATCTTTTCTGAAGGGGGGCCCACGAATTCCAGAAGTATTGTAGGCTGTCTTGGACAGGCTGATGTCTCAGGTGGAAGGGGCGGGGCCAGGAGACTTCACACACTCCCCCACCCACAGACCCTGACTGGCCCCGGGGGTGGGGAAGTACGTGAAGTCGTTGCCCCCTATCCCTGTCCTGCCGGGGCGCATGGAGAGATCCACCAACTGTATTCAAGAGCTGGCAGTTCCCTCTAGGCGACACGCACCTCTGACGGTGGGAAGAGGTTTCATGCGCTCCCTCATCCTCAGCTCTTGATTGGCCTGGGGGCAGGGAAGCGGCAGCCAGTGGCAGGGCAGCCAAATCTGGCCCTCAGACTTGCCCACCCGTGTCTTGCCCACCCCTGTTCTATCATATATGGGGGGAGAGATCGCTCAATAGTTTGAGCATTGGCCTGCTAAACCAAGGGTTGTGAGTTCAATCCTTGTGGAGGCCATTTAGGGCAAAAAATTTTCAGGGATGGTACTTGGTCCTGCTGTGTAGGCAGGGGACTGGACTCAATGACCTTTCAAGGTCCCTTCTAGTTCTAGGAAATAGGAAATCTCCATATGCCCCCTTGTTTGTCTTATTCCTCAATAGTCCCAGACTTTTCAGTGCAGCCACATGCAGCCTCCTCCATAACATAACTCAGAACCCCCCTTGCTATCGGCTGTACCCTTCAGAGACAGGGGGACCACAACTGAGCAGGGGTCCAGATCTAGTTATTCTTCAGCCCTTTGCTTAGACCTCCGGCCACTCTTTTTGTCTGTGAATGAGCAAGTGTTTCCATGGATCTACTATCAATGACACCGATATAGTTAATAGACTCATAGAATCATGGGTTGGAAGAGACCTCAGGAATCATCGAGTCCGGCCCCCTACTTAAAGCAGGACCAAGCCCAACTCAATCATCCCAGCCAGGGCTTTGTCCCGAGCTGTGTTCTACTTAGGATATTTCCCCTGGCACTTGTCTTTGAAAAGGGTTAGATTGTTTCCTCTCTCAGATTTTGAGCAAGCAGATGACTCTCTAGCTTGGCATGCAATGAGGGATAACCAGTAACCATCCTCATGTTTCCTGTGGGTGCCAATAAGGTTCCCCACACTACAGCATCCATGTGGCACTATCAAATATGGCCTTGACATCAGTAGGGTGAGTTGTCCCTAATTCATTTCTCTCAATAATGAACATGTCATTTTTTCAGTGTGAAGACCGACTGTGCTACTTCACCCTTGAGAACAGCCTCCAGTAATACTCACATTGTCTCATAGGAACATTTTCCCTGCATCCAGGCATTTGTACTGTCACTATCATCCTAGCCTCTGGACATATACAGGAGGTCAGGAGATCATAAGGTACATGCAAGAGACAAAATTCTGCTTCAGCGGTGGACACCTCTCCTGCTCCATGTCAGATTCCAACACAACCGACTTCACTAACCCCTCCATCTTCATTCTGCTGGGTATCCCTGGACTGGAGGCGGCCCATGTCTGGATCTCCATCCCCTTCTGCACCATGTACATCACAGCCCTCTTGGGGAACTTCACCATCTTGTTCATTGTGAAAACGGAGCGAAGTCTCCACAAACCCATGTACTATTTCCTCTGCATGCTGGTTGTCACTGACCTGGTTCTATGTACTTCCACTGTGCCCAAAATGCTGAGCATCTTCTGGTTCAATTCCAGGGAGATCGATTTCAGTGCCTGTCTCACCCAGCTGTTCTTTATTCACTGCTTCTTAGTGGTGGAGTCTGGGATCTTCATGGCCATGGCGTTTGATCGCTACGTGGCCATCTGTGATCCCCTGCGACATTCCACCATCCTGACAAACCACTGCATGGCCCAGATTGGCCTGGCTGTGCTGCTGCGTGGCAGCCTGCTCCCATTGCCCTATCCCTTCCTGGCCAGGCAGTGGCCATATTGCAGAACCAACATCATCCCCCACTCGTACTGCGAGCACATCGCCGTAGTGAAGCTGGCCTGCGCCGACATTCGCATCAGTAGTTACTACGGCCTCTCTGTGGCACTCGTGGTGACTGGTCTGGATGTGATATTTATCGCTGTGTCCTATACCCAGATCCTCAGGGCCATATTCAGCCTCCCCACCAAGGACGCCCGGCTGAAAACTTTCGGGACCTGCAGCTCCCACATCTCTGTCATTTTAGCCTTTTACATCCCAGCTCTCTTCTCCTTCTTCACGCACCGGTTTGGCCAGAATGTGCCCCTGTATTTCCACATTCTCATTGCTGACATGTTTCCTCTATGGAGTGAGGACCAAACCCATCCGGGACAAGCTGCTCCAGCTGATTCCACGGGCAGACTAATGTTTTCTCCTGGCTCCCAGACAGAACTGTGTGCAGAGTTGGCTGGCGACATGGTGCTGGGCCCTTTTTCTCAATTCACTAAAAAAAATCTTTCCTCCACCTTTCTGTGTTGTATCTATGCTATAATCTGGAGAATCCACCTACGTACAAGTCACAGGGTTGTCACTTTTCCAGCTGGTCCTCTGAGCCTCTCCCCCCCACACTACCCCACCTCTTCCCCCGTGACTCCTCCTCCAGTCCCATCCAGTCTCTCAATGCCCAGGCTCCTTCTTCATCACTTCTCCATGGTCCCACCCCATCACTCACATCTCTCCTCCACCATCCCATCACTCTCTGGATCGGCCACATCCTTGCCCACACCAGCTGCATCCTCTCTGCTCTGAGGCTGGGACAGGCAAGGAACTTGTCTGCTGGTAGGAGCAGCCCCAGTTGAGGAGGGGCTGAAGAGGGTTAATTCCCCAACATCTCTTCCTGCTCTGCTCGCACTCAGCACTGCCGAATCCCCCGTTTGACTGGAGGGGCCAGTTTCAAACCTGGTCCCTGGCACTTGGAGACAGACTCAAAAATCAGACTATCCAGGAAAATCCAGACAGATGGAAAACCGATGGACTCATTACCGCACAGTGTAAACCAGCTGTACCCTTGTCTTGGGCATTTCCTATACTGTTCACTGACCCTCCTTGTGCTCAGAGGAGGAGGCTGGGATGGAGCGGCTGTCACCCAGGCAGAAGAAGGGGTGCCTTTATTCGAGATATTCTGGAGTGTTGTGTGCAGTTCTGCTCCCCTTCTCCCCACTACAGAAAGGATGTGGACACATTGGAGAGGGTCCAGCGGAGGGCAACCAAAATGGTGAGGGGGCTGGAGCACATGACCTACGAGGAGAGGCTGAGGGATTTGGGTTTATTTAGTCTGCAGAAGAAAAGAGTGAGGGCAGCGGGGAGAAGGGGGGATTTGAGAGCAGCCTTCAACTTCCTGAAGGGGGGGATCCAAAGAGGATGGAGAGAGGCTGTTCTCAGTGCTGGCAGATGGCAGAACAAGGAGCAATAGCCTTAAATGGCCGTGGGGGAGGTCTAAGTTGGATATTAGGAAAGATTATTTCCCTAGGAGGGTGGGGCAGCATTGGGATGGGTTTCCTAGGGAGGGGGTGGACTCTTCATCCCTAGAGGTTTTTAAGTCCTGGCTTGGCAAAGCCCTGGCTGGGATGATGGAGGGGGTTGGTCCTGCCTTGGGCAGGGGGTTGGACTCTGACCTCCCAAGGTCCCTGCCAGCCCTGGGATTCTATGATTCAGAGGGTGGGGGTGGGACCTTCCCAGAAGAGGGAACAAAGTGAGGAGAGGGTGGTGCAGCCCTTTAAAAACAGCCTGGGTGACCCAGAAGATGCTGGGGCAGGAGAGAGGAACAGGGACATCAGTACATCAGTGGGGACTCAGTTGCAGGGTTATGGCTGCAGCAGAAAGAGAGGTTCCAGCCGGGGAAAAGGCCAGGAGGTGCAGGAACTGACTTCAGGGTACCCCAGCGGGCTCTGACCAATCCCAAAGAAAGCCCCCGGGTGGAGGACACCGAGGCAGGGAAGGCCTGGCCAGTGTTGTATCCTGTTTACTGAGCCCGGGGGATCCCTTGTGATGTTTAAAGTAGAGGAAGAGTTTCAGCAGCCCCTTTTGCCAGGCCTGGGTCTGGTTGCTTTCACCACCCTGTGCCCTGAAAGAGAGAACCAGGAAACAGCATGAACCCCTCCCCAGGGGCCTGCTCTGGGAAGAGCGCGCTGACCAATGAGGAAGTCTGAGAGAGCTGAGTCAAAGCTGGTTCCAGGGCCTTTGGCCCAGCATGCAATTCTCCAGTGCCCAGAGGGAGGCACGACAACGCGAGCGGCATGCTCAGACTGGGCCAAGAAACCGAGCCCCATAGGTGGGGCCTGAACACTGCTGTGGGGCTAGGATTGGCAGTCATGGGGGAATGGCGCCTGGTAGGGAAAACTGGCAACTCTTACCCAACTCTAGGGCATATGGGCTCAGTGTGTGGGACCCAGAAACAGCCACCTGCTGGGGGTCCGGCCACCAGAGGGCTGGGACCACACACTTGGAGCTTCCAGGGCTGAGAGAGGAAGGCCACAAGGTGATGTCTTCACTCAGATATAGCGCCTCTGTCCTGGAGGTTTCCCTGAAGGCTCCTCTGAAGCAATGTTTCTTCCAACAGGCAATGCTTCTTCTGTCAATGTCAATTCCCCACTCTGGCACGATGAATGCAGAAGTGGGGGCCAGCAAAAGTACCCCCAAACCTTCTTCTTCCAGGCTTCAGTATAAAACTTCCCCCCAAAATCTTAACAACCTAGATTTTGGGGATGAAAATCCACTCCCACCACCCAAGTAATGGTCAGAAAACCAGGGACGAGATCACTTGGGAAATCTCAGCCCTAAAGGAAAAACAGGACCAAAAATTAACCAATGCCAGGTTAATAAAAAAGAAAGAACTTGTATTATCACCACAATACTCCTGTTACATGCATAATGACTAGATGGAAAAGTCACCAATTGATAAACTCATGGGCTGTGTCTACAATGGCCCCTTCTTCGGAATAGCCATGCTAATTTAGAACTACTTGAAAGTAGGAATAAGAGATCCTCCGGAAAAGGGCTTTATTCCAGAGGATCGCACCAGTCTAGACGCTTTTTTCCGGCTTTTCCCCAAGCCGGAAAAAAAGCAGCGGCCATGTTTATTTAAATCCCGCAGGGGATATTTAAATCCCCCATGCATTTCCCTATTCCAAAGTTCTAAATTAGCATGGCTATTCCGAAGAAGGGGCCAGTGTAGACGTAGCCATGGGGAATTCCACCCTGGGCCAAAACTTAGTTGCAAAACAGAGGAAACCCCGTTTTTAAATGCACCGACATCAGATTCCCATTCCCAAATCATAAAACATCTAAACATTACCCTACATACAGATAGTGAAGAGTCTTTTCTTGGGCTATGTCTAGACTACACCTCTCTGTCGACAGAGAGATGTAGATTAGGCACATCGAAATTGCTAATGAAGCGGTGAATGAAATATCCTGTGCTTCATTAGTATAAACATGGCCGCTGCTTTTTTCCGACATGGAGTTTTGTCGACAAAATCTCGGCAGTCTAGAGGCAGATCTACAGGAGATGCTCAATGACTTCTTTGTTTCGGTCTTCACCGAGAAGTCTGGAGGTGTGCCTAACGTAGTGAATACAAGCAGAGAGAGGGTAAGTTTAGAAGATAGGATACACAAAGAACAAGTTAAAAATCACTTAGGAAAGTTAGATGTCAGCAAGTCACCAGGTCCTGATGAAATGCATCCCAGGATACTCAAGGAGCTGATAGAGGAGGTATCTGAGCCTTTAGCTATGATCTTTGAAAAATCATGGCAGACAGGGGAGATTCCAGAAGACTGGAAAAGGGCAAATATTGTGCCCATCTATAAAAAGGGGAATAAGAACAACCCAGGAAATTATAGACCGGTCAGTTTAACGTCTGTCCCAGGGAAGATAATGGAGCAGGTAATTAAGGAAATCATATGCAAACACTTGGAAGGTAATAAAGTGATAGGGAATAGCCAGCATGGGTTTGTGAAGAACAAGTCATGCCAAACTAATCTGATAGCTTTCTTTGATAAGATAACGAGCCTTGTGGATAAGGGAGAAGCGGTGGATGTCATATACCTAGACTTTAGTAAGGCATTTGATACGGTCTCGCATGATATTCTTATTGATAAACTAGGCAAATATAACTTAGATAGGGCCACGATAAGGTGGGTGCATAATTGGCTGGATAACCGTAGTCAGAGAGTTGTTGTTAACGGTTCTAAATCCTGCTGGAAAGGGATAACAAGTGGAGTTCCTCAAGGGTCTGTTTTGGGACCCGTACTGTTCAATATCTTCATCAATGATGTAGATATTGGGATAGAGAGTACTCTTATTAAGTTTGCAGATGATACCAAACTGGGTGGGGTTGCAACTTCTTTGGAGGATAGGGACATAATTCAAAATGACCTTAGCAAGTTAGAGAAATGGTCGGAGGTAAACAGGATGAGGTTTAATAAGGAGAAATGCAGAGTGCTCCACTTAGGAAGGAACAATCAGTTCCATACATACAAGATGGGAAGCGACTGTCTAGGAAGGAGCATGGCGGAAAGGGATCTAGGGGTCATAGTGGACCACAAGTTGAATATGAGTCAACAGTGTGATGCTGTTGCAAAAAAAGCAAATATGATTTTAGGTTGTATCAACAGGTGTGTTGTAAGCAAAACTCGTGAAGTCATTCTGCCGCTCTATTCTGCACTAGTTAGGCCTCAGCTGGAGTACTGTGTCCAGTTCTGGGCGCCACATTTCAAGAAAGATGTGGAGAAATTGGAAAGGGTACAGAGAAGAGTGACAAGAATGATTAAAGGTCTAGAGAAGCCTATGAAGCCAGGCTTCATGAACTGGGCTTGTTTAGTTTGGAAAAAAGAAGATTAAGGGGGGACATGATAGTGGTTTTCAAATATCTAAAAGGGTGTCACAAGGAGGAAGGTGAAAATTTGTTCCTCTTGGTTTCTGAGGACAGGACATGGAGTAATGGGCTTAAAGTGCAGCAGGGGAGGTTTAGATTGGACATTAGGAAAAAATTCCTAACTGTCAGGGTGGTCAAATATTGGAATAAATTGCCAAGGGAGGTGGTGGAATCTCCCTCTCTGGAGATATTTAAGAACAGGTTAGATAGACATCTGTCAGGGATGGTGTAGATGGAGCTTGGTCCTGCCTTGAGGGCGGGGGGCTGGACTCGATGACCTCTTGAGGTCCCTTCCAGTCCTATTATTCCATGATTTGATGATTTTTGTCGAAAAATCTCTGTTTCAGAAAATCGCTTGATCATTGTCTTCGGTCCACCCTCTCTGGGGTACCTGGTGCAGGCCACTGTCAGCAGACAGGCCACTGGGCTAGATGGACCTTTGGTATGACCCAGTACGGCTGTTCTTATGTTCTTATGATGGAAGACACAGTGGCACCGAGCAGAGAAAAGTTCAGTCAGGCAGAGAGCAGGGGGTTACATGCTTCTGTGGAAATTTGACGAGCTGTGCGTACCGCAAAAAGAGCAAAATATTCCAAGAGGAAAAGGTTCGTCTTGGAAGCAAATTCTTCCAAGAATTCCTAGCCGATGGACGTGGAGGAACAGTCCTGCTCTTATGGGAACATCTGTGGGGTAGACACCAACCCGGTGGAATTGGCTAGCAAAAATATCTGAGTCTCCTTTTACCCAGAGGCCTGGCTGACTTTGAGGGCTCCCCTTCCACTGCTCTGGGTGTTGGAATCCTCGTAATCCCTACAAGCCTGGGCCCGGGATTCCAGGGAGGTCGACCCCCCAGCCTTGTTTTCCTTTTTAGCCTTTCCCTTTAGCCTTCGGGTTTAGTTTTAGTTGGTTGCTGTTTAATGAATTGGGGCTGCTGACAGGCAACACCTGGGAGTGAGGACGCCCTACTTCCCTGCTAAGTGACCACAGCGAGCGAGGGGTCGAATTCTGACCTCTGCTCCTTTAGCAACAGCCCCGTGTATCCCCAGGAAGCGCTCCTGTCACCGCTGAGTCATGACTCTCCACATGTCATTCGACCCTCTCCCCAGCCACCCTGGGCATTGCCATGGTATCCGCTAATGTCCACAGAGGCACACAAGTGCCCAGAACAGCCAATTCCTCCTGGACTCAGCCCAGAGCCCAAGAATTCTCCTTGCCCTTTGGGATGGCTCCTTAATTACTCTGAAATCTGAATACTGGGTCATTAGCACAGAAACACAGACAAGCTTCTCTCCCGGCCTGTACACAATCAGACCCAAGCTTATCCACGAGGGACTGAGGAAATTCCCATGGGGCTGCACAGAGCTGTATTATAGAAGGCCCACAGCCCTGTCTCAGCTCTCGGCGCGGGACGCTGCTGCAGACGCTGGGCTGAGAGAGGTGCGGGACGCGGCTGCCTGAGGGGGGTTCCAGGGAAGACACGTCCCTCTCAGCACTCACAGGTACCAGCTCTGGCTGAGGGGCTCCCCTGCTCCACAAACCGAGTGTAACATTAGTGTGATCGGCTAGGGACTGGGCCTGTGGTCATTGCTGCTCTGCACAGCCATTAAACATCCCAGGGCCCTTGGTACACATTTGGCATAAGAGGATAAGAACGGCCAGACTGGGTCCGACCGAAGGTCCATCTAGCCCAGTATCCTGTCTGCTGTCGACAGTGGCCAATGCCCGATGATCCAGAGGGAGTGGCCACTCTTTTCTGTGCACCTCTCCGCATCCCAACTGATGGGCTGCAGGACCAAGGGGACATGGCATGTCAGTGGCACAGTGGATCTTTTACAGTAGACGGTGCTAGCAGTTGTACAATAGGAAGGCCAAATTCTGAAGCCCATGTTTGCTCAGGCCTCAGTAAGGCAAATCTGTGTGTGTTAATGCACAGAGAGGGTCACCTCCTCTTCTTGCACCTCAGGGCTCTGGCTGTTAACGGGGATGCGCGGGAGCTGTTACCTGACTTTCCTGTGCTTGAGGGCATGTAGCTGCTAGGACAACTCATTACAACAGCTTACAGAATTTTTCAACCAAGGCAAGACGTCTTTTCTCCCGGCTTCGTTCAAGAGGTCTGCTGAACTCTTTTGTCTGAACCGTTCCTCCCAGCCGGAACCAGACACCCGATATCACACAGTTCAGTCCAGACGCTAAACGTCTGGCACACTTCTCAGCAACTGAAAGTGAGCTCTGCCAAGTGAAGGTGACGGACTCTCTTATCTAAGGGTGGTGTCACCAGCACCGTCTACAATAGGCAGTCCATTTGTTAATCCCAATCAGCTAAATTCTTTTCTCGAATATATCTGTGGCAAGGAATTCCACAGTCCAAGCATGGCTTAAGCAAACATTGTCATCAGTGTAATATGCCCTGACTTTCAATGGAATTGAATTTTCCCTTGTTCCTGTGCTGTAAAAGTAAGTGTAAATGGCTGAGCTACTTCCTTTACCAAAAGATCAATAGGGTTTACACGCAGAATAGACCATCCGGGCTGACTTCCTGTTACCCCTGTATTGGGCTCTGTAGCTTCATGATTTTACATCACAGAACCATGGAGCTACATGGTGAGAGGATTGTGACAGTTATCTAGCCTAATGCGCTGAGAAGATGCAGGATGTGTTGTGCCTAATCCATCCGGGGCAGATGAGTATGCAGCCTCCTTTGGTAAATATTCAGTGAAGAAGATTCCACAACTTCCCAAGCGTGTCTGTTTTATTGCCGTCCCCTTCTTTCAGCAAGGAAGGCTTTTTTGTCCCCCCTGAGATTTCATCTCAATTGGCTACACTGTAGTTTGAACCCACCAATTCTTGATCTGCCCACCATGCTAAGACAGATAATCTTTCCTCCCTCCTTTTTTATGGCAGCTTTTCAAGTATCTCTGTCCACTGTTGGGTCATCTTCTCAATCTCCTCTTTTCCAAACTCAACGTGCCCAGTTCCATCAGCCTTTGTTTGTATGGCCCATGCATTCGATTTGTTTAACAATAGTAAGAGACCCGCACTCCTGAGAGATGTAGCTATTTGAACCTAAGTCACATGCACACAGCATGAGGTCAAGGAAAGAATTCAGAAAAAGGGCAACAAAAATTATTAGAGGTTTGAAACAGGTGCCAGATGAAGAGAGATTAAAAAGATTGGGACTTTTCATCTTAGAACAGAGGAGACTAAGGGGAGATATGACAGAGGACTATATAATCATCACAGGAATGGAAAAATGAACAAGGAAAAGTTATTTACATGTTCCCATAATATAAGAACCCAGGGTGACCACATGAAATTAATAGGTAACTGTAGTAAACAAAAGGAAGTTTTTCTTCACTCAGCGCATAGTGAACCTGTGGAACTCCTTGCCAGAGGATGTTGTGAAGACCAGGACTTTAACAGGGTCCCAAAAAGAGCTAGATAAATTCATGGAAGTTAGGTCCATCAGTTGCTATCAGTCAAGATGGGTAGGAATGGTGTCCCTAGCCTCTGTTTGTCAGAGGCTGGAAATGGATGACGGAAGAGGGATCACTTGATTATCTGTTCTGTTTACTGACTCTGGGCCATCTGGCATTGGCAACTGTCAGAAAATAGGACACTGGGCTTGATGGACCTTTGATCTGACCCAGTGTGGCCATTCTTATGTTCTTGCAACAACCTAGTCAGCCAATGCCAGGGTAATGGATTACCTATGCTGAGAGCAGAAGCCCCATCAGTGGTCTAAATCGTATCGACACCGATGTTCTTTGGCAGCGCTGCTGTAGCATTTTACGTGCAGACAACCCTCAAGCAGATCTTCCAGAAAGGCATGTAGTCTGGAGGGAGTTAGAGAATCTGTCACTTCCCTTCGCAGCATTTTCCAAAGGCTAATCCCCCTCAGTGCTAAAGCTCTGGCCTTTGTTTCCACCTGGAATTGGTCTTCCTTCCGATGTCCATCTTTAGGCTTACTTCTGCCTTTCTCTCCTAGGGTACGTCTACCCTACATGCCACTGTCGGCAGAGGCATGTAGATTTGTTTGTTCAGCAAAGGTAAATGAAGCCACGATTTAAATGATCACGGCTTCATTTACATTTACATGGCTGCCGCGCTGAGCCGACAAACAGCTAATCAGCTGTT